GGTTGTGAGTTCCTAGCTAAGGGCATTTCAGGCTGGCTGAGAAAGGGTTCACGACTGCCTTTTTCCTACCAATTTCCATTCTCGGGGCTGATTTCATCCTCCTGCTCGAAGCAATGGGGTCCCACAAGTCCCAGGAGTTAAGCAATGGAAGTGACGGTTTCTGATGACTTGCTCTTTGGAGCAAGGAACTTTCTCCCGCAACATGGCAGGGGGCTCCCTCATCCTCCGTGGCCAGCATTGGGTCACAGGTGGGCTCCTGAGCCAGTCCTCAGACCCTCAGACCCTCAGATCTTGGCCCAGCCCTGAAGCAGGTGGGGTGGGATCTGCCTCCACTGAACACTTGCAGATGTGAGACACGTGCCCCCTAACCTGTCCTTGCCCTGTTAGGGAGGCAGAGTCCCTCACAGGCAGGTATTGGAGCTTGCAATGTTTAAGGTGGAATTCAAAACATAAGCAAGATCCAGGCAGCAGGCCAGATGGGGAGTGGGTGGCTGAAATCTAGCAGGGATGGAGGTGTCTAAAGTTAGGAAGGTCAAGGAATCGGAAGCTGGGATGTCTGCATGGATCACACACACTGATGTTGACGGTGCCAAGAATGAAGGCAATAGTGGTGCCCGGCTGGCTCAGTCAGTAGAGCAGGTGACTTTTGATCTCAGGGTCGTGGGTTTGAGCCCCATGTTGGGCATGGAGCCTACTTAAAAATATAATAAAATTTGGGGGAAAAAAGAATTAAGGTGATAGATGGTGAGGGTGGGGCAGTGGGGGTAGAGAGAGGGACCCCCGCAAGTCAAACTGCCAGCTCCTCAATAAATGACAGGGATGAGGGACAAGAGGGAAGGAGGATGGGCCATCCTTCCTTTCCTTCTCCACTAAACCCAACTGCATATAAGGTCTTTAAGGGTTTTCAAGTCTGATCCCCGCTGAGCTGGCCCAAGCACTCTGTTGGGGCAGAAGCTTCTAGACCGGCCACATGATAGGCCAGTGAAATAAAAGCCTGTGGGTGGGTTCCAGGTGTTGGTCCTTTTCAGAGCTTCTCAGATTCCTCCAACACACAGCCATGGTTGGGACCTCGCTCTACCTCTCACACTGTGACTCTTTATCATCTCAAAGGGCAGTTGGAGCAGAGCCCTCCTAATCACTCAGTGAAATGAATGTATTAAGCCCCTATGCTCCAGGCACTGGGAGTAGAAAAAGGAGAAGCACGTGGTTGCCTCTCCCCCAGACGCCCACCGGGGGATATGAGCACACACACTGCTACGTTAGAGACTCGTGGGTGCCTCCTGGCCGGCAGGCTCCCCAGCGTCAGGGTGACTCTGCATGCAGACTTGGGACAGGCGAGGCTCTCGGGGAAAGACGAAATGTAGCGTCTTCATCTCCATTTCACTGAAAGCACGCCCCCACCACAGCCAGCCAAGTGTACTTCCTAGATCTTGTTTATATTTTGAACTGTTTTGCCTCAGCAATCTCAAACTCTAAAATCTGTCAGAACTTCAAAATAAAATCTCAGCGTCTTGGAATGAAATATAAGAGAAATGCAGCCTTCGTGATAAGGCTCCTTGCCCACCTTTCTAACTTCAACCCTTGCACTTCCCCCAGGGACCTTGCAATCCAGCCTTATAGGCAATTTGCAGCCTCCTAAGAGCGCGGTACGCCCTCAGGCTTCTGGATTTTTGCATCTATTTCTCTCTTCATCTGGAAGATGCTTCCAGGACAAGCATGGAGGGGCACATTCTGGCTGGAAGAAAAAGTATGAGTGAAGGTCTGGTGATGACAAGGAAGCACTTTGCCCAATCCTGCCGGCAGATTGGGCAAGGAGGCTCTGAGGCTGTTGGTCTCCATTGGCGTCAGAATCCCTGGGAGAACTTGCTAAACTGCAAATGCCTGTCCCCATTGGCCCCCGGCTATGGTATGGCGGGGCTGAGGGTGGGGCCCCGGGGTCTCCATCTCTAAGAGGCTTCCAGGTCCTGTAGTTGCAGCTCACAGAGGGAAGGAAAGTGTAGTCCTTGACCAAAAAGGGAGGTATCAGGATAGGGCTTCAAGCAGGGATGTGACTTTCGTTGGTTGCTCAACAATTATTGATTCATTGTGTACCTACTATGTTTCTGACTCTGGAAATACCAAGGATAAGGATAACTTAATATCTGATCTCAAAAGGTTTTTTGGCCCAGCGGGAGAGGCGGTAAACCACAGAGGATCATTATACGTGATGGTGAGTCTCAGAGGGAGGTGTGCGTAGGCTGTGATGTAATCAGAAGAAGGGAGCTGCACAGACGGGATATCACCCGAGCTGGGCGTGGCCGCCTGAGAACCCACAGCTGTGCGTCCCCCGGAGACCTGAGGGCGGGGCCGGGGCAGGTGACTGTGAGGCTGTGCCGCGCTGTCCCGGATGGAAGGTGGTCCTCATTTCTCCCCTCCTCTCAGTTACCCAGCTTCATCACTACACAGCAGGTCTCTGTACCAACGTTTCACCTGGTTAGGGTTTTAGCTTTCTCACACAGCGAGATGCAAACTCAGCAGTTCATCCCTCTCAGACCTGGAAAAACCTGCAGGAGCTGTCTCCCCTACAGTGTGTGCTAACTCACCATCTGGCCCCATTCCTTAAGCCTCACGGTCCGTATGCATTTGCGGAAAATGCTGATTGTAAATGATGACGCTTTTTAAAAACCAAAATAACAGCACCTAGATTCCTAGTGCTGAGCACATTGGAAGTATTCCACAATGGGCCTGATCATAATTGTAATTATGTAGCACAGGTGTGAGTGGGAATCCTGCAAACCCCACTGTCCGGTCCTATGTGGCTACCTGAGGTCTGTTGGCAGCTCAGCCCTCCATGAACCCCCAGAGGAAAACCGGCCCCTGGCCCCCTGCTTCAGCGGTTCCACCACGGGCCTCAGCAGCTGGGCAGCCCCTCCATCAAACAGACAGCATTGCTCTGTGGGCTCTCTACCTAACTGCCCCTAGAAAGGACAGAGCCTCTGCAGCCAATTAAGCCGACTGTGCTCTTTGTCTATGGGGGCCCAGTGTGCCATGGCTGCAAACAGTAGGCTCCTCCGTAGTGTATGCAGCCTGTTGATTGTACGGGTTGCCCTAAGGGACCTTGGAGACAGCCCTTTTGGTGGATGCTGGGGTCTGACCTCTTGGCTATCTCCAATTTAGGCTGCAGACAGGTATGCGGGGTGCCTTTGGAAAGCCCCAGGGCACAGTAGCCAGGGTCCACATTGGCCAAGTCATCATGTCCATCCGTACCAAGCTGCAGAACAAGGAGCATGTGATTGAGGCCCTACGCAGGGCCAAGTTCAAGTTCCCTGGCCGCCACAAGATCCACATCTCCAAGAAGTGGGGCTTTACTAAGTTCAATGCAGATGAATTTGAAGACATGGTGGCTGAAAAGCGGCTTATCCCAGATGGCTGTGGGGTCAAATACATCCCTAACCGTGGTCCCTTGGACAAATGGAGGGCTCTGTACTCATGAGAACCTTGGCACTATCCCTTCCCGTCATATTCATGCCCGCCAATAAATCCAACTTCCTGTCAAAAAAAAAAAAAAGAAAGAAAAAAGAAAAAAAAGAAAGGACAGAACCTGCTCCTCTTTTCGGGATGCCAAGGTAAGGCCTGGAAATGGCCCGTGCTGGTTTTCAGCTCCATCCCTTAGTGTGTGAACACCAAGAGAGCTTTTCTACTGCCTGGAACCCCAGTTTGCTCATCTATGGAACAGGCACAGTAGTACCAACTTTGGAAGATTACTGTAAGGTTAAAGACATACAGAGGGCAAAGGTCAATGTGAGTTGATGGTAGCCTACCCGAGGTCTTCTGACTGGTTCCATGAGCTCTTTCCACTGCACTGGCTCATGGCACAAATGGGTTCCAGATGCCCAGTCAGTGCCAGGTGCTGTGCTAAGTGCTGGGATTCCGTAGCAGGATAGATGAGGTCCCCTGCCCTCACACCCCATCACATTTGGGGCAGGTTTCTCTTCTTCACAAAACAAGCACCTGCTTCTTTGCACCTGGACTTTGGTTGTGGTAGTGCAGAGTAAAGACAAATCTAGAAAGGAAAAAATTGATTTTTCCCTGGTGCAAAAGGAAAAGAGCCTCTCCTTTCCTTTCTTAAAGATCATTTGCTCTAGAAAACTTATAAATTCTTTGTCCTTTTGGAGATGTGTGTAAATATTTTTAAAAAAGCTAAATAGAAAAAAAAGGGAAAAAAAAGTTAAATAGGCCTTTTGCCAGTTCTAACCCAAAAACGTTCTTTCTCAAGGTCCTGGGAGCCATCTCTCTGAAATGTTAACTTTATTTCCAGGAGAACCTGACTTCAAACCCGCCTTCTATGGTGCCCACATGAGAATTCTATTGCAGCTTTGGAGAAAGACAATTAGCAAACAAAAACAGCCACTCTAATTACCAGGTAAATTTAGGGTGAACTCTGAGTGAAAAAATGTCTGTCCAGTCCTCTAACTTGAGACCATGATGTAGGTGTCGCACCTTCCTTGTCCATATAAAAGCGCGAGATTTCTTGCTGTCTCTGCAATATCTTTAGGGGGCCGCCCTAAACTGTTTTCTTTCTCTTTTGTTCCCTTGGGGAGTTTTTGGGGGGTCTGGCAGGAGATTTTGTTTTTCTTTATACTTAACCAACAGTAAAAACCAGGCTGGCTGGAGAGCGCTTTGTTACAATTTGGACAACCTGAACGATGAGCATTAGCGCCTCACCTTCCATCCCTGCATTTTCAGCCGGTGCTGTCCCCGCATCTACCTGCCGCAGCGCAGATCCCCCATCCGCGGCTACAGCCGAGTCCCGCATCCCTATTTTTAGCCGCCACAACCCTCGTGGTCAAGTGACAGGCAAGCGGGGCGGTGCCCGAGAGCGCCCGGCCCAGCCCAGCCTCGCCGCGCCCCGCCCCTGCCGCGCGCGCCCCGCCCCCGCCCCGCCCCCACGCGCCGGGAGGGAGGAGCCGGGCGCGCCACAGCCGGCGCGCGGAGTCCGAGCCGGTACCCCGCGCCCTGCGGCCGGCGGCCGGCGGCCGGCGGCGATGAAGATCTGGAGCTCGGAGCACGTGTTCGGGTGAGGTCGGGCGGCGGGCCACGGTGGGGTCCGGACCGGCGCCTGCTCCTGCTCCCGGGGCGGCCGAGGAAAGGCTGGACCCCAGACCGGGCCCTCGCCGAGCCCGCCCAGCCCCGCGCTGGCCGCTCCCAGACCGCGGCCCTGGCATCCTAAAAAGAGGGGGCAGGCTCTGTCCTTTCTAGGGCGTCGTTAGGTAGAGAGCCGGCGGAGTGGTGCAGTCTGTCTGATGGAGAGGCCGCCTGACTGACGGAGGCCGGTGGTGGGATTGTCGCAGCTAGGGGGTCGGGGGCGGCCTTTCCCTGGGGGGCTGGCGGAGGGCCGAGGCGCGGGGACGGATCTCAGCCACCCGAATGGGGCCGGACGGCGCGGGCCGGCGAGTGCGCTCGGCGGCGGGGCGCCCTGGTGTACGCGGAGGCCCGGGGGTGGGGGGGACGCGGCGGGGAGGGGGCCCCGGAAAGTGACAGCCCTCTCTCCTCAGCCCACCCAGGAGCAGGCCCGATCTCGCCTGTACCATGCGCTCTTTGGGGCAGGGCGCGCGGCATCCTAGGGAGAACTGGGGCCTGGGGAGCGGGCCCGGTCCTCTGCTGAGATTGTGCTGGCCATTGAACCCAGACACTAAGCTGTGAGCTCGGCAGGAAGCCAAAAGTGGAGAAGGCTTGTGGGGGGTCTTTCATCCTGAATGCATTTGTGGGCATGGAAGGCCTCCAAGCCAGCATGGAAAACGGAGAACTGTTTTAAGAGTACTCTCGTGACCTAAATGGTATCTTCTAAGTCACTTTGGTATGTGACACTATACAATTATCCTTTAAGATTTTTTAAAGGAACAAAAATTTTAAAGATTCCTTGATCCCACTTGGAGAAGCATTTTGTTTTGGGGAAACAAAACAAAACAAAACTGCGTGAAGTGAAATTGTCATCCTTTGGCTTTTTATGTAAAATTATTACAATAAAACTTTATCGAGTGGTTTAAAACCTCTGAAATTATTTTTAATGAAATCTTTAGACTTCATGGGATTCAGTTTGAGTGTTGATTTTTGTATGGTCTGCAGCCTTTCTCAGCTGGGCTTCCTTCAGAGATCCAGTGGAAACCCCAGTGAGAATGACTCCAGAGATTCTTTTCTCAATTTTGGAGATAACTGGCACCATCCAAATGCAGAGGGAAGACATTAAATCATTGAAACTGTGTGCCCAGGCAGTGGGGCTCAGTGTTCTCCCTGAACATCTGAGAAGGACTGCCCTAGAAGTTCATGAAATGTTGATTGACAAGCAGAAGTGAACGGTCAGCTATGGAAAGTCACTGTTGATAAACTTCACCCTCTTAAAGTGTATAATTCAACGATTCTTAGTCAATTTGCAGAGTTGTACAATCATCACCATAGTCTGGTTTCAGAATATTTCCATCATGCTACAAAGACTCCCTCATTCCCATTCCCAGGCACCCGCCACTCATTCCCAGCCCCAGGCAACCACTAAGCTGCTGTTTCTATAGATTTGCCTTTTCCAGAAATTTCACCTAGATGTCATAATACAATATGTGGTCATTTGTGTCTGGCTTCCTTTACTCGGCACATTTTTTTGAGGTTCATTGGTATGGCAGCCTGTATCAGTCCTTCTTTCCTTACCTTATTCATTTTGTGTCGCTGATACTCTGCCCGTGCCTGACATACAGTAGGTGCTCAGTGAGGGGGTGAGGAATCTCAAGGAAACCGGGTGCCCTTCCAGAATGAGGGCATCTGTCCACCAAAAGAATCCCAGGGGGCCCCCAAGTTGCTGTGGACTAGGTGCTGACCATCTGCTGTTGATTTTTGAACTTCACATTGGCAAACATGGAATGCAGGTGGCTGAGGATGGTGGTAGGTAGGCCTTTGTGGCAGACAGGTGGCGAGTAAGGTGTTATTCTGTGATGGCAGGCCCTCTGTAGGACACTGAAATTGGAAGCCTGGCTTTCTAGCTAGGCTTTATTAATGATTTTCCCTTTGCTTAGTCCTTAAAATAACTAATCTCCCCTCCCCTTTGGGGATTATAAACCTTTCTTTTCCTTTTTATACTTGTTTTCTTTTTATATATTTGTGGTGCTGACAGGTAACTAGTTGATTGGAGTTTCATAAATGTACTCTTGAAAGGCAAGAATAATCAGGCACAAAAGCTTTGGCATTTATCAGGTTTTCCTCTTCTGTCCACATCCTGAAGAAACCCCAGGACCCAGGGGCGCCTGGGTGGCACAGTTGCCTAAGCGCCCAACTCTTGGTTTCAACTCGGGTCATGATCTCAGGGTCATGAGATCAAGCCCCACATCTAGCTCTGTGCTGATTGCAGAGTCAGCTTGGGAGTCTCCCTCCCTCTCCCTCTTATTCTCTCACCCTCTCTTTCTAAAACAAACAAATAAATCTGAGAAAGAAAGAGAGAAAGAAAGAAACCCCAGGGTCTGGAGTGGGGCATAGCTGAGAGCAGTATGAACACAGCCATGGAAATGGAGAGCCCTCTGGGAAAGCCATCGGAATCAGCATGTGTGTTACCTAGACGGGGTTCAATATAGTTTAAATAGTAATGAAAAATATAGGACTGAAATATAAAAATATAGAAAGGAATGTTAAAAATTAAACAGGTTTATAAATTTCATCCTCACAGCATTGACCAAGGTTTCAGGTAGGCCTAGAACAAGATCTTTCCTAACAGCCAACACAAGTTTGGCTGGCAACCTCAAGGTCATACACTCCTTGGATTCCAGCAGCTACTGGTATCTAAAAGGTGATAACCATCTCAGGGAAGTCAGGAGCTTTGGCGGGGATATGTCCTCCAGCAGGCTTGCTTTCCAGCCAGGAGCAGGGAAAAGGACCTCCCCACCATTTCTTTTAAATAAGATAAATTGAACATTACAGACAAGAGTGCTGTTCCCTTTCTCCCCACAGGCAAGAGTATGAACTTGGTGGGTATCATCCTTCTGAAGGTCTGTCGGACTACCTCTGTGTGTGTGTGTGTGTGTGTGTGTGTGTGTGTGTTCTTCCATAAGCAATACATAATAGCATTTGTTGTCTTAAAATGGAAATCAACAGTATCACTTGGTACAGATCTTTTGACCATTTCCCTTTGTTCACACAGTGTGTTTTTGAGATTGTGTGTGCGTATCCTATAGCTGCATGATATTCCATTGTATAACTATGTCACAGTTTATCCTTTCTCTTACTGAAGGGATATAATGTTTCCCCCTTTATCCCATATCATACTGCAGTGATCACTCCTGTATACGTTTCCAGTCCCTTTAATCAAGGGCCCACTTAGGCCAGTGATTCTCAAACCCTTCAGCCTCAGGACATCTTAATACTCTTAGAAAATACTGGGTGCCCCAGACAGTTTTTATGTGGGTTCTATCTACCACTATTTACCATATTAGAAATTAAAATGGATACGTTTAAACATATTTATCAATTCATTCAAATTAATAATGATAAACCCACTCAATTCATATAAGTAACATTTTTATTAAAAAACAAACCTGTATTTTCCAAAAGCACAAAAATTAGTAGGAAGTGGGGTGCTGTTTGATTTTTTTTTTTTCTAATTTCTGGCGTAACAGAAGATAGCTTGCTCCTCCTGTCTGCTTCTGCACCAGTGTTTTGCAATCTGTTGTTTTGATTCAAATATACAAATAAAACCCAGCCTCACTCTATGAATAAAACCCGTTTGGTATTTTAATAGCCTTTTAAGTGATTGTGGCTGCTTTAAGTAATTCGCTGCTGTGACAAGACAAGTGGTTTCTGAAGCTCGTTGCAATGGAAGATCTGAAAGCAGAATGACCAGAGTCGTCGGCCTGCCTCGAACATGAGTGGGTCTCTCCCTGTGACATCCCACACCAGTCACTTGGAACATACGGGTTCATCGGGTTGGCAGTACGGGGCTGTCATCAGGCTCCTCCTGGCAGAGGATCCAAGTTTTCTAAAATTCCAATTTGTGATCAAAAGCTCAAATGTTCTCTTTGGCAGCAAATAACGATCAGTTTTTCTTGAAGGGATAGGCTCCCTGTATTCATCTTGGAGAAAATGCCGGCCACATACCTAAGTCTGAATGAGCAAAGTCTGTCCATCTATTGTTTCACATAGACGTGGTGGGTTGGGCTGGAGAGCCGCAGCTTGGCTGGGCCCCACTGCCTACCAGCTGCCCGGCGCTCCCCCAGCCACTTGAACCTCCAAGTGCAGCCGGTCAGCTTCCTGTGCACCCCGCTCTCTTGCTCAGAGTATTAATGGAGGGGTACTTAGGGGTCTAAATATAAAATTAATAGTCTTGCTATTTCATAATGGATATTTTTAAGAGACACTGGCATTATTTTCCTGAGTGAACAGCAGTGAGCCTTGACCCCAAGTGCGGTTTGGGGTCAGGACCTGCATTCATGGGGAGAGGCCCCCAAATTTACCCTCTGTTGCTTTTGCAGCATTGGGGTAAAAGGTCAATATTGTCTAAAAGGCAAGTCATGTCTCAGTAACACTGAGGCAGTTTGGGCCTGGCAGACCTCTGGAAAGGGCCTGGGAATCCTCTAGGTGTGGACCACAGGCTGAGAACCGCTGGTCTGGGCCTAGAGTTGCTTCGGGTGGGTGCAGGAACGCCTTGCCTTGCCTGGGGCAGCCTTCATTTTTTTTTTTTTAAAGCTTGTTATTATGGAAATTTTAAAAAGTATGCAAAAATGGAGAGCTGAGAATAGTAAGAGCCCACTGCCATCTCCCACGTTGACAGTCACCCTCTCAGAGCCCGGCTGGCTTCATGTGTCCCTACCCACCGCTCCTTCCCCCTGGGTTATTTTAGGCAAATCCCAGGCATCCTATGATTTCATCCCACTTCATCTTTCTGACACCCTGGCTGTGCATAGAGAGATGCCTTTGTTACTCCTTTCCACTCCCCAGTGTGCCAGGTGGGCTGAATCCCACCACCTCCTGGGCTGCAGGGCCAGGCGCCGCAGGGGCGATGTCTGGTGCTTTTGCAGCAGTGCTGTGCTCTGAGGCAGTCCCCCACCCCCACCCCAGGGGTGGATTCCCATTCCATCGTGGTCACTGTGAGTCACAGACATAGCCGGGACCGCACCTCTCAGAATGAAGTTCAGCCAGTTCCTGGCCTGTCTAAGCCGGACACTGGCACACAAGCCCTGACACAAGGGCACCGGCCCTCTTAGCATCTCCCAGGCCTTGAGCCAATTCACCATCCACAGCTCAGTCTCCCCCTTTTTTCCAACACTTGATATTACCAGAGTTTGCCATTTTTGCAATGACTACCAGGGTATTTCCTTTAACCAAGAAGTGTGTGATACTGACTTGCTGTATTTAACCCTTGTTGTTTAAAAAAATGTTACTTCTTGAATCTGTTGATGTCTATATTAACTTATATGGCCCTCCTGCTGTAATCAGTAGAATTATTTTTTATGTGAGTGTTTTAAGCAGCTTGTATTTAGTTTACATCATCGGCAGAAAGGTGTCAGGTTTTTTATATAAGAAAGATTATTGTGTAAGATACACTTCATACAAATACTTCAACTTTTTGCTAGTTTTAAGTAATTTTAGGAGGCACAGCCTATTCTGCTTAAAGTAGTGATTTTTGTGGGAACAACTCTTAGGACCTTAGCCTGCAACGCTTGCAGAGTATTTCAGTGAGAAGGCCCCCGTGTAACTCAGTCCCTTGCTGCTCTCAAGTATGTCCAGCTTCGGCCCCGTTCCCTAGATCATGGATCGACCATGTCCCTGACAGTTCTTCCTCAGAGAAGAAGGCTGCGCTCTCTGGGTCCTCCTGAGCAATCAGGTGTAACCACATCTCTGCGTCTTCATTGCTCTTTGTTAAAGCCGGTGGACAGGTCAACTCAGTGACACGATTCCATGGTTTGAAAAAGCATTTCTTTGTTTAAAAGAGGAGATTTTAGATCAGGAACATAATGGAAAGAACAGAGGGCAGAGGCCTGGGAGACCCGGTTCTAGAGCGGACCCTGCCACAAACTTTTTGACAGAGTTTTATAAGGATAAAGTAAATTAATGGTCGGTGACTGATACTTTAAAAGGATGGCAAATACGGAACAAAACCCGTCCATCTGTTCATAATCTTTGATATTTGACTTAGTAATTTCATTTCTAGGAATTAATCATAAAGAAAAATTAGATATGTAAAAGGTCAGTATACACAAATGTTTGCTACTGTCTTTATTTTATAGAGCAAAATTGGGAGCAATCAAAGTAACCTACTACAGGGAACTAGTTCCATATAAATACCTCTAGGATGACCTGTTGTGTAGCTCTTCATAATTAGATTTCTGGAAATAGATTCATGATATAGGAAGATGTTCATCGTCAGTTAAATATAAAAAGCAGGGTCTGAGTATGGTCTGAGCATGATCCCAGTTTAATTTTTGTAAGGTGTGTGCGTGCGTGCATGGGTGTGCACATGTGTCTAGGTCTTGACTTTGGGCTGTGTCTATACACACTGTTTAAACTTGATGGGTACAACTGCAAAAATGATGGTGTCATTGACATACTCTTCTCTCCTGGGGGCTCGGATGCTTCCTGGGAGCACACACATCCTGGGGAAGGAAGAATTAGGGGAAGAAGCACTTGGGGTGGGGGGATCCACACTGAAAACCTAAAAGGGCACCTCTGACTCCCTGTGGACAGCCATAGGGTTCTGAGCCTACCAAGCACTAAAGAAGCACTGGGCAGTCGTGAACGTGCTTTGGGACCTCTCTGATAGCGGGACACAAAACAGGGACAAAGGTGTCCATCCCCCCACCTCAAGGGCTCAGGGCCAGAGAAAGTGGGGCAATGGCCTGCAGGAGAAGCTTCAGAGAGAGCTGGAACACCTTCAGGGACTCCCACATAACTTGGGGTCATCTCTGGGTAGTGGAATTGTGTATGCTTTTTTTTCATACATATTTTGGACAACTTTTATAATCAGAAAAAAAAAATATGTTGGCCACTTCATGTCACATACCACTTCACAGTTGGGGCAAAGTGCAGTCGACCCTTGAATAATGTGGGGGATTAGGGGCGCTGACCTCCTGTGCAGCTGAAAATTGTATTTTGTTTAAAAATATCCTTTCGGGGATGCCTGGGTGGCTCTGTTGGTTAAGCGTCTGACTTAGGCTCAGGTCATGATCTCAGGGTTCTGGGATCAAGCCCCATGTCAGGCTCCCTGCTCAGCGGAGAGCCTGCTGCTCCCTCTCCCTTTGTCATTCTAGATATAGATATAGATATAGATATAGATATAGATATAGATATAGATATAGATATATAGATAGATATGTATATTGCCCCTCCCCCTGCTCGTGTTTTCTCTCTCTCTCTCTCAAATGAACAAAATCTTAAAAAAAAAAAAAAAATCCCCTTTCAGTAAATGGCCCAACTATCCACACAGTTGTTCAAGCCAGAAACCTGGGCATCCTTCTTGAGTTCTCTCTCCTTATTTTCAGGATTAATACATAACTTGTCGTCCAAATAGGGATGCCTTTGAAAGTAAAAGGGGATACTCTTAATAGGTACCATAGGACATATAGACTCTTGATAGGAAGTAGTAGTACTTTGAACCTTTGTGATCTCGGACATGAACTCGAGCCTCACGTGGGATTTTGCACTCATTGGGGAGTCTGCTTGCAATTCTTTCTCTCTCTCTTTCCCTCTGCCCCTCCCACCAGGGTTGCACTCTCCTCACTCAAATAAATAAAGCTTTAAAAAAAAAGAGAAAATCATAAGGAAATACATTCACAGGACTATTCTGTATTTATTGAAAAAAATCCACATATAAGTGGGCCCATGCAGTTCAAACCACTGTTGCTCACAGGTCAGCTGGTTCTCAGTAGAGCATCACTAGCTGGGACCAGTAGCCTGTTGTTCTAGATACACATAAGGCAGGCACCTTACTGTACCGTCATAGCGTTGAACTCCAGGTGTCGAGGTGGTCAGCTAGGTAAAGCAGCCCAACTGGAAGTCACAGCCAAGCCTTCATGCACCACAATAGTGCAGGCAAAGAGGCAAACAAACTCCTGCTCCCCAGTGTTCCGCCCCTACCATGGGAGGGGCAGGTGAGAAGCTGGGGATGGGGAGACATGTCTCTCCACCCTGAAGCCCCAAAGGAAAGGGTCCTGCCTCTTTAGGGACTGGGAGAATGTCAGCGGGTGGGGTGATGGGAGAAGTGGACAGGAAGGTCCTGAGTGGAGGGAGGGAAGTGGCTCAGCCAAGACCCCGGTGCTGGGGTGGCCTGTGAGTGCAGCACCTGGGCTGGGATTGCAGACACACTGAGCATGGCTGCCAACAGCCTGAGACGTCTGTCTCCCCAGTGTCTCATGAGTCCTGCCAGGCGAAGCCTTCAGATGGCCGCTGGTCAGCCCAGAAGGATCGCAGCGTCCTGGATCTGGGTGTGGAGCTGGGTGCCTCAGATAGATTGGTTTGACTATACCTTTAATTAAAAACAAAATTTAAAAAAAAAATGAGAGCGTTAACGTTGATCTTCATTTCACTCCATGGGCCATAGCACCCCTGGCGGCCCCGTGCCGCTCGGGCTTACAAATGGAGGAGTTGCCTGCTCACTCCGGGTGATTGTTTTTCCCACCAGCCACCCATGGGACACCGTCATCAAAGCTGCCATGAGGAAGTACCCGAATCCGATGAACCCCTGTGTCGTGGGAGTTGACGTGCTAGAGCGCAGTGTGGACGGCCGGGGCCGGCTACACAGCCACCGCCTCCTCAGCACCGAGTGGGGGCTGCCCGGCTTCGTGAAAGCGGTGAGCCCGCCACTGTGTGCCCTGGTGACACCCGCGTCGTCCTGCTGCCCCCACCTCGCCTGGTGCGCCCCCGTACCGCAGCTCCCCCCCGCACCCGCGTTGGCTCGCTCACGCGCATGCGCAGGCTACACCCGCGTGGCCCGGCTGCACCCTCGTTGCCCAGCCCAGGCTCTACCCGAGTCGCCTGCTTGCACCCAGGTTGTCCCCGCTGCACCTGCATCTGCCTGGCAGTCCCCATCCGCAGGAGGTGACAGCCTCTTCTGAGAGCACGCACTCAGGACTTCAGAGAAGCCTGAGAGATCGTTTGTTTCTCTGTAAACTTACTTTAGTTTCCATCTCCGGGGTATGTGGCCTGGGTTCCTCATGCTCGGCCCTGGCCCCATCAGCATAGAATCCTTTCCTGCAGCTCTTCTCGGCCCTGTGTCCCTCTGGGCCGCCCTAACCAGATACCACAGACGGGGGGCCGGGGGAGGGGGTGGTGTGTGTGGCTCCAGCAGACATCTGTTTCCTTACAGCTCCGGAAGTTGGAGGTCCAAGATCAAGGTCCTGGCGGGGTTGATTTCCCTGAGGACCTTAGGGGAGGGGTCCGGTCCAGCCTCTCTCCTTGGCTGGCAGCTGCTGCCCTCTTGCTGTGTCTGTGGGTGGTGGTGCTTTGCCTCACGCAGCCCTGCTGTCTCCCTCTGTGTGTCCTAATCTCTCCTTCCTATGACGACACTGCTCAGACTAGGGTAGAGTCCACCCTAATGACCCCCATTTCAACTCAATTACCTCTCCAAAGGCCCTATTTCCAAATACACTCACATTCCGAGATGTCGGGGGTCAAGAGGTCAAAATAAGAACTTTGGGGGACACAGTCGGTCCCTGACAAGTCTCTTCTGCAGAACCATCAAGGGAGGTCATTGAAAATGTAAATCCAAGCACGATTTTTTTCCTGCCCGACCTCACCCCTGCTCTCTTCTCAACACAGATTCCCAGCCCTGATGTGGGCCCAATAGCCCAGTGAGCCCACCTTCTCCCTCCCCTGCCATGCCGGCCTCTCACCGTGCTGGGAGCTCAGCACATGGGTCAGAGCCTAGGAGGCGTCATCTGCAGCCAAGCCTGCTGACCCCAGGACCCTGCCTGGTGCCTCTCCCTCTGTCGTTCCGCCACCCCGCAGAGAGTCTTCCCTACACTTCCTGCTCCTCACCGTTTTCTCTTCTGTGAAGGCATTTATTACTGTCCCACATTCACCTCTACCTGAATCCATTCATTGGACCCATGCTGGCCTCCACTGCTGGGACAGAGGTACCCAAGGAGCTGTGCGGCGCTGTCCATGGGGGCGTCCCCAGTTGCGTCTTTTGTTGAATAATAGATAAAGGACTTAATTAGTAAATGAAATTCGTGTTTGATGCTACAGAATGAAACTTTTGACATGTCACTATGCTAGCTTTGCTTTGTTTTTTAGATTTTGGGGACCAGTAGGACTTTGACGTACATCAAAGAACATTCTGTCGTGGATCCAGTAGAGAAGAAAATGGAACTTTGTTCCACCAATGTAAGCAATGGCCTGAGATGCGAAAGGTGCTTGTTTTTCCTGGGGATGGTGGGTAATGTCTTCATTTAGTTTTTTTTCCAGCCCACCTTTGGTCTAAGGGAATCTTTTATTTTTTATTATTTTTTTAAAGATTTATTTATTTATTTATTTGACAGACAGAGATCACAAGTAGGCAGAGAGGCAGGCAGAGAGAGAGGAGGAAGCAGGCTCTCCACAGAGCAGAGAGCCCAGTGCGGGGCTCGATCCCAGGACCCTGGGATCATGACCTGAGCTGAAGGCAGAGGCTTTAACCCACTGAGCCACCCAGGTGCCCCGGGAATCTTTTATTTTTAATGGAAAGGCTGAACTTATTTAGCAGTATTTTATTTACCTTTTTATTTCAGTATAATAAATGTGTAGAAAAAAATGCATATAATGAATTGTCACAAAGTGAACACACCTTTGTAACCAGCAGACAGATCAGAGACAGGGTGTGACCAGCCCCTAGGAGCTCCCCTTGCACTCCCTTTTGGGGGGCACATCCACTCCAACCTCAATATAACCACTATCCTGACTTCCAACAGCAGAGGTGATTTTTAACAGTAATTTTATTTTATTTTATTTTATTATTTTATTTTATGTTATTTTATCTTATTTTCTAACAGTCATTTTTTTAAATCATGTTTTTTTAATTTATTTTTTATTTTTTTTGTAAACATATAATGTATTTTTTTTTAAGATTTTATTTATTTTTTTATTTTGATAGAGAGAGATCAGTAGGTAGAGAGAGAGGAGGAGGAGGCAGGCTCCCTGCTGAGCAGAGAGCCCGATGCGGGACTCGATCCCAGGACCCTGAGATCATGACCTGAGCTGAAGGCAGAGGCTTTAACCACTGAGCCACCCAGGCGTCCCCATATAATGTATTTTTATCCCCAGGGGTACAGGTCTGTGAATTGCCAGGTTTACACACTTCACAGCACTCACCATAGCACATACCCTCCCCAATGTCCATAACCCCACCCCCCTCTCCCAACCCCCCTCCCCCCAGCAACCCTCAGTTTGTTTTGTGAGATTAAGAGTCACTTATGGTTTGTCTCCCTCCCGATCCCATCTTGTTTCATTTATTCTTCTCCTATCCCCCTTAACCCCCCATGTTGCATCTCCACTTCTAATGGTAATTTTAAAAGCACCTTTTCCCCTTCACTCCTCTCTCATTCAAAAAATTTATATCAGCCAACTGCACATCCAAAAAATATGTTGGGGGAAAATGCATGGGCTAGAAACATGGTTTATTTTTATAAAATCCTATTCTATAAAAATGCTCTCAGCAGCTTTGTGCTCATTTACCTGGAGACCAACCCAGAAGGATTTTGCTTTTGTATGACTGCTGTTGGTTTGGCGGTTTGAAAGGGCCTTGAAGGCCAGGCCAGACTTAGGTTTGGGTGTGGAGGACAGGTGACGGTCGCCAGAAGGCGCAGCCAGGACTTCAGATTTCCCTGGGACTTAGTGGTGTCCCCTTGCCCTGGCGGGGCAGGGGGTGGCTGGATGTTTCTTCTGTTCTGGTTTCAGTGAGTTGATTTGGGGATGGAGGGGTATGGGCAGATGGTCTGGGAAGAAATGCAAGATAAATAGAACCTAAAGCCATTTTTTGTTTCAAGATCACACTCACAAACCTGGTGTCGGTGAACGAGAGGCTGGTGTACACGCCCCATCCGGAGGATCCGGAAATGTAAGCCTCTGCATCCTGGGATTGACACGTTGAACTCCAAGGTCTAGGTGGGCCAGGGCCTCCCCTCTGTGAGGGCCACGCAGCCCACTTACTTGCTGCTCTTGTTTAGGACGGTGCTCACACAAGAAGCCATCATCACCGTGAAGGGGATCAGCCTGGGCAGCTATCTGGAAAGTCTGATGGCCAATACCATATCATCCAATGCGAAGAAGGTACGGCGCTCAGGCCTGCCCCCGTGTGCACTCCGGGTGCTAAGTGCCAGATTAAAGGGGTGAAATGTGTCGTCCCCTAAGTCCTACCCAGTGCTGCGTCCCTTGGTCGCCAACGAGCCTGGGATATCACCGCATTTTTCACGGTTACGTTCAAAACCAGCAGGGAAGGCTGGCCCAGGCCTGGGGGGCGGGGAAAGTGTTGGGTGAACGTGGAATGGAAATCCAGTGGAGGGAACTACCGCCTCAAAGAGCTGAAACAGCACAGGCTCAGTGCCCAGGACAAACCCTACATGTGAAGCTGGTCAGGCAGGCTCTTAAGGCGCTGTCCTTTCCCACTGAGTAGGCACTGAGGGGCCTTGGCTGAGCCTCCCGTCCGCCAAGCTCCCCTGGACTTAGCCGCTGTCTCTGTGCCTCCCCTTTGTGGGGAGTAAGATTTGTGGAGGTGACAGGAGAAGGGTTGGATCCCAAGAGACCATCCTCCCCACGTCCCTAGCTGGAGGGCTGCCTGAGTGAGGCAGATGCTGCTTACAGAGTCCGGGTTGCCTTCCTCCCCAGCAGAGCCGATGGAAGGGGCTTGGAAGCTGTGGAAGCTGTTCCACAAATTCAAGGTAACATCACTGGCCAGAGCAAGGCCTTTGGATCTCACCTGAGCTTCCCTCCCAGGCTGATGTCTTCCCAGCTGTCCTCTCCTTCCCTCCTCTCTCCTGGTTTATTTTGATCAGAAGTAAGTCTCCGTTCTGGGGACCAGTGGGATGCCTACCATGCCTGTCACGATTTAATGGGAAAACTACTGACAGTTTGCATTTAGCCTCGGCACTGAGAGAAGAGCTGGCCTCCCCTGTTTTCAAGAAAAATCCAAATTTGAGCAATGTTGGCAGTCGCTCAGCTCTGTTCGGGGGAGGCAGGGAAAGACAGGGCCCAGAGCTGCATGCCTCGTGTCCACACTGCAAGCCCTCTTGGGAGGAGACAGAACCTCACTCACTTTTGTGTGTCCAGGGTCTGCCTAGGGCAGGTGCCCAAAATGTTTTGCTGGAAAAGTAAATTACAGGAGACAGGGACTACTTGGCGAGGCCAAAGCCACCCCGAGGCCTCTTATGAGAAAAGTCGGGGGAAACTTAGCGGGGCCAAATGAAAAGTCTTTTATTTCACTTCGTGTTAGGAGTTGCCGTGTTGAAGCCCTGCCAGACAATCACTTCCTCCCCTGTGGCTGTGTTCCCATTCGACAGCACCCCCAGGAGAAGGGGGAGAAGGGGGGAGCGGGTCATCCGGGGATTTGGGTGGGATGAACCCGTGAGGAGGCTTTGAGGTCGCCCCCTAGTCCAGCACTCAGGAGGGGACAGTGCCGCTGATGGGTGCGCGTGTGGGGACAGCCCGAGCCGGTGTGAGGATTTCGCACAGAAGACGTACCACCTGATTTCTGAGCTTGTGAAACTGCCTGCTGCGGTGAAGATTGTTCTTGTTCGGGAACTGTGACCACTGTGTCTCCTTTAAAACCGTAGCGCTTTCCTGGTGCCATTTCAAACGCAGGCCGAGACCTGCTGTCTGCCGGGAGAGAAGCCCACATTTCTTACACCGTGTTGAACTCTTTCTGTGTTGCTCCAGGGGTGGGCTGCTATTGAGTGGATAATTGAGAATTCTGAGCACGCCGTGAGCTAACGGGGTCTGCACCTGCACCCTATGACCAACAGTGGTAACTATAGTGCTCTTTAACCCCGTAGAGAATTTAGCTTCTTGCTAACAACCGTGTGCATGGTGTCTGGCGCTGGGTGTTCCGAGGTCTAGCTGCATGTGTCTCCAGCCCCCGGCTCCTTAGTATCTTCTGAAATGGAAACGGCCATTAGTTCATCCTCTTCCTAATTCATCTCCTTGTTTCACGGCAGGATTTGTTTCCCAGGGAGACTTGGGTATCCAGATTTGTTATCTGGTCTCTAAGAGAGGCAGTCCAGCTTCTCCCAGGCTGTTCTCAGCACCTGCTTGCTTAAACGTTTCCTAGAATTACTGCAGCATCAGGAAAGAGGCTGTTGCGAGTAGTCCCAGACCGATCCGATGGGAGGAATTTTTCGTTTTGGGCAGGATCTGAATATTTGCACATGTTCTTACAAAGAATGCCCTGTGGCCTTGCATCAGCGCCAGCACCCAGCCACATGACCGCTACTGGCTCTTTTCTTTTAGTGGCAGAAGCAATTTCTAGCATCTTCTTGAGCTTTGCAAACATTCCTTGGTTTCCCAGGCCACCAGTGGCTGGACTGTCAGAAAGGGATTTGACGCTTAATTGGTCAGCAGTCATCTTCACACTTCATAGGAAAGTCAGAGCGTTTCCTGCTTCCCTCTGTTTAGGGAATCCTTATGCTCCTGCCTTGAAACCCTCACCCTGTTGACCTTCCATACTGGGCTGCTCTGGGCTCCGCTTCCCACAGTTGGTCTGTCTATCTGTCTGCAGCATGTGTGTACACACGCCGTGCCTCAGTCAGCAAACAGGAGCCGTGTGTTTCAGGCTCCTTTAAGAACTTCCTGCTGAAGCTTAAGTTGGCCAGAGACCTTCACCTTGAACCCAAGGTCATGATCTGCTGCTGGCTCTCTCTTCTTCCGTGGAGGCACCACTAAGGTGACTGCACGTAGAGAGCCAGCCTGGTGAGCATAGTGTGTGTGGGCAGTGTGGCGTGTATGCTATGTCCCTCAGAGCTGTGGACTCTGTCACATTGTTTCCTCACAAACTAGAGCTAAACTGCCTCAATCTTTAATCAGATGCCTCATCCAAAAAATCAAAGAAGAAAGAACGAAAGAACAAGAGGAAAAAAGGAAGGAAGAAGGAAAGGTAGACATAAGCGGGCCTTGAGTATGGTTCGTCCTGTCTGGGAGAGGTGTGGAATCTGCTGGAATCTGCCACTTGCCTAGTCACAGCCTCCACTGGGCTCTTTGGCTGTGACCTCTCAAGACAAGAGGCCTGTCTGTTGCAGACTGAGACCCAAAGAAGGGAAGACCGCTAGCAGGAGGAGGACGAGGGCCGCAAAGCTGCCACGCCACCGCTGCCACAGGCCAGCCGCCCCCCGGGCCGGTGTTGTCAGACTGCTCTTATGCCTTGTCTGTCTTCCTCTGGACAGCAGCGTTTAGCAATTTTCTGCTGATCCTTGGGAACTTACCAAACAACTTTGTTCTTTCCTGATGACCCCGTTTCCCTCGCATGCCCCTTGGCCACCTGTCTGCACTGTCAGTCTCTTCACACATATCTGGCCACCGTCTGTCACGTCAGAGGCTGCCGCCGTGCATCCTTCTCGCCACTGTTAGGGCAGGTCTGCACATGCCGGAATAGGGGCGGCACCCCCACAGTGACACGTGTGGTGACAGCACCGTGAGCTCTCCCATCACATGGTTGGCCTTGGTCAAGAGAGCAAAGCGCCCTGCCCTCAGGCTGTGGCTGGCTTGTCCTGGGCTCTGGGACCAGTGACCCCCTGGGGCTGAAGGCTTATGTTACTTGTCACCATCCAGACACGTCCGTGGGGAGGCTTATGCATAAGGGCCACTGAGATGGGATGGTGGCAAAAGTGCCTGTGAGCTCGAGGTGTCCTGTTAGCTTTAAGGTACTTCCGGGTGGGAATTTTAACTTTCCCATTTTCACAAGCAGAATGTAAAATCTTTCCATCTGCTTTGAATTCTAAAAACTTTAGAGAAGGCCTTCTCCATTAAGGATGAGTAGAACTGTGTTCTACCATTTATTTTAGATAGTGTTTTTTGTTTGATAATAGTATTTCTAATCCAAAATGAAATGATATTCATTTCTATTTTCATCCGAATATTTTATGCTTATAGCTCCTGGTAAAAAGGAGTTAAAAGATTTATGGTAAGATCACCCTCCCCCCTTACTCGTTCTGCAAAGCTCATTTCTACCCTTCTGAGGGGACACTCAACTCTTTTGGTAGCTTTTGGCTTTTACCGCTAGATTTCTAAATAAGTAAACATATTCTGCTATTTCTTGATTTGTCCATTTTATTTTATTTTATTGAATATTTTATTTATTTATTTGACAGAGAGAGAGAGCACAAGCAGGGGGAAACACAGGCAGAGGCAGAGGGAGAAGCAGACTCCCCAATGAGTGGGGAACCTGACATAGGGCTTTATCCCAGGACCCTGGACCATGACCTGACCCAAAGGCAGACACTTAACCAGGAGCCCCTTGATTTGCCAATTTTAGATATTATATAGATATTATTTACCTGTTTGGTAAAGTATTATTTTATCTCTCTTATCTCTTTCTCTCTGCTCCCATTCCCTCAAAATAGCTACATTGTTTATGGTTGAAAGCACATTCAGAGTTTCCATAATTCTGAAAATACAAATGCATAGCTATTGCTTATTACCAAGCCATAATTGCATTTTCTTTCTTATACAACCTTTCCCCTCTTGCTGATAATAATTGTCTTATTCTTTTCATGTATTTAGTTTTATTTTTTAAAGATCTCTGGCTGAGTCCTTCCATACTCTTACTTGCTCTCTGCAGTACCTCGTGATGTCATCTTCCACAGGTCAGTCTTTTTGGGCAGCCCACCCTCTCCCAGTTTCTCTGGCACCATCCTTTCTGGAAGGCAGGCCTTACTCTCTGACCAAGCAGCCATGTGGCTGTCATCCCTTTCCCTGGGAATTTCTGGACATTTCCTCTTCTGAAACTCTTGTTTCCTTGCTTCCCTGCCTTCCCTTTTCTCTTCCCTGTCATAGGATAGAAAACAACATCTCATCATGGCTTCTAAGACTTGGCGTATCTGAAAATGTCTCTTCTATTCTCACACTTCGTTCATGGCATAGTTGGACATATAATTCTTTAAAAAAAAAATTCCACTCAGAATTTTGAAGGCATTGTTCTGTTGTTTTCCACTTAGATTATTGATCCCTGTATGTGACTTTTTTCTCTCTCTGAAAGCTATTAGGATCTCTTTATCCTTGATGTTGTGAAATTTCATGCAGTTAAGCCTTGTTTGAAGTGAACTTTAAAAAAATTCATTGTGTTGCACTGTGCATGTTAAATCCCTGGTTTTGATATTGTACTATAATTATGCAAGATATTATTGGGGGCGGTGGGTAAGGGGTACATGGGACATTCCTGTACTATCTTTGCAGCTTCCTGTGAATCTACTATAATTTCAAAATTAAAAGTTAAAAAAATATAATAGTAACATCATGGAAAATGGTAGAGGCAGGTACTCCCAGAACTGGTCCCTCCACTGAAACAACCAATAAGCTGGCATAAAAATGACAGAATCAACTTCTATAGAAGTGTGGATTTTAATAGAATACTTTAACCAGGGGAGCACTTAATGAATCTTGATTAACCTACCCTGCAGATTTTGGACTTGCCAGCCTCCATAATTATGTTAGCCAATTACGTAAAATAAATCTCTGTCTATATGTACACATTTTATTGGTTCTGTTTCTCTGGAGAACCCACATTATTGAAGCTAAATTGGCATCAGTTCAAATTAGATTTTTTCTGAATTTAAGATATTAATTATTACCAGGATAACCAATAAGAAAATAATCAAAACAGACCCAGAAAGGAATAAGAGGAATCAGAATGGTACACTAAAAAAAAAATAATAATAAATAAGTAAAAAGAAATAAAAATTTTAAAATATCAATCAAACACAACAGATGAGGATGGAAAGAGTTCAGGAACAGAGCATTATGAAACTCACAGAGAACAATGAGCAGTGTAAGAAATTAGTGTTTCTTTAGCATTACTTACTTTAAAGATAAATAATTAAACAAACCAGTTAAAGGATAGAGTTTGGGAGAATAGATGAAAAAAAATGATCCTACTATATATGCTGTCTACCAGAGACTCCCTTTAGATCCAAAGATACAAATGGGTTGAATTGAGAGGATGAAAAAAGATATTCCATGTAAAGAATAACTAAGAGAGCGGGGGTGGCCATACTAATATCAGACAACATCTACTTTTGATCAAAAATTGTTACAAGAGACAAAAAAGGACATTATACATCAATGAGAGGGTCAATTCATCAAGATGACAAAAGTTATAACCATTTACACACCAAGTGACAGCGCCCCCAAATATATAAAGCAAACATTAGCAGAACAAAAGGAGAAAGACAATTCTACAATAATAGCTGGAGACTTCAATGATCCACTTCCAACAATGGATAGGACATCTAGACAGAAGATCAGTAAGGAAATGGAGGACAAGAACAACACCATAAACCACTTGACTTAACAGACATCCATAGAACATTTCATCCAACAGCAGAATACACATTTTTCTCAAGAGCACCTGGGTTATTCTCCAGGATAAACCATGTTTTTTAGGCCAAACACCAAGTCTCAATACATTTAAGAAGACTGAAATCATACCAAGTATCTTTTGTTATCCCAATGAAGTGAAATTAGAAATCAACAGTATAAGATAAATGGAAAATTCAGAAATATGTGGAATTTTTAAATTATGTTTCTAACAACAAATTAAATTACTTTGTTAAAGAAGAAATGGTAAATGAACTTATAACATTTTGAGGTGAATGAACGTGAAAACACAACATATGAAAACTTATGGGATTCAGTGATCAGAGGGAAATTCATAGTTGCAAATGCCTACATTAAAAAAGAGAAAAGAGGGGACGCCTGGGTGGCTCAGTGGGTTAAAGCCTCTGCCTTCAGCTCAGGTCATGATCCCAGAGTGCTGGGATTGAGTCCCGCATCGGGCTCTCTGCTCAGCAGGGAGCCTGCTTCCCTCCATCTCTCTCTCTGCCTGCCTCTCTGCCTACTTGTGATCTCTGTCTGTCAAATAAATAAATAAAATTTAAAAAAAAGAGAAAAGTTCTCAAATCGTTAACCTGACTTGAAGGACCTAGAAAATGAAGAACAAACTAAACCCGCAGCTCGCAGAAGGAAAGAAATGAAAAAGATTAGAGACGAAATCAACAGAGAATAAAAAAAGAATTATTGAAATCAAAGTGGTTACATTGAAGAGGTCAGCAAAGTTCACAAACTTTTAGACTGACCAAGAATAAAAAGAGGATTCCCAAAATGAATATATCAGAAATGAAAGTGAGGCATTACTCCAAATCTTACAGAAATAAAAAGATATAAGAGAATACTGTGAACAACCGTAAAACAAATTAGATGACCTATATGTGACAAACTACTAGAAACACACAAATGACCAAGATTGATTTAAGAAGAAATGGACTCTCAACAGGTCTATGACAGTTAAAGACATTGAATCAATAATTGAAAACCTTCCAGCCAAAGCCTTTCCGAGGGCAGCATAGGAAAAGCACCCTGCAGTTTGGTGGGATGCCCAGGCAGATGGGCTGAGGGCAGGCATCTGGCCAGACTGTGGATACTGCCCAGTAGTGGCTCCAGACCCACAGCAGGCAAAGGGAGCCTTTGCAGATGATTGAACTGAAGGCAAATGCAAATGCATCTCAAGGACAACAGTAGGACACACACAGCCCACACAGGAGACATCCCAGAAGTGCCTGGTTCCGGGGAACAGGAAGCATTGTGCTGCATGACAACACAGTTCTCTTCTTCCTAAGGCCCCTACTTTAAAGATCGAGAAAAATAGCAGACTTTCCTACCCCTAGAAACAAACACAGGCAATATGAGGAGGCAGAGGAATATGTCCTAAATCAAGAACAGGACACAATCACAGCACAAGGGCTAAATAAATGGAGATAAGCGATATGTCTGATAAATAATTCAAAATGGTGGACATAAAGATACTCACCGGACTTGAGGAGAGGGTGGAGAATCTCAGGGCGACCCTCAACAAAGAGACTGGAAAAAAAAGCAGCTAAAGATGAAGAACTCAGTAACTGAGATAATAAATGCACTAGAGGGAGTCCACAGCAGATTAGAGGAGGCAGAAGACAGTAGGCTGGCTATAATCAACTAAATGGAAAACAAGCATTGGCAAAGATACGGAGAAATTGGAACCTTTGTTCATACTGATGCAAATGTAACATGGTACAGCAACTCCACCCCTACTTTTATACACAAAAGGATTGAAAGCAAGTACACAAATTCTTGCACACGAATGTTCACAGTAGCACTACTCACAAAAGCCAAAAGGTAGAAACTCAAGTGTTCTTCTGCTGATAAATGG